AAATTTGAATGAAAACTGACAAAGCATGTCCAAAATACGACATTTTCAAAAAACAAGATGGCTGCCAGTCGGCCATCTTTGATCCAATTGTGAAATAAATCATCATGGACATGTATCCTAACATGTATAATCTATGTACCAAGTTTGAATGAAAACTGACAAAGCATGTCCAAAATACAACATTTTCAAAAAACAAGATGGCTGCCAGTCGGCCATTTTGAATCGAATCGCTAAACCACTGCATGTGCATATGTCCCACATAAAGTACTAGGCACATGCAAAGAATGAACGGAATCGGTCCAAAGGACTCTGAGATATGACTCCGGACGGACGGACGCACGGAGACCGAATTATAAGTCCCCGTTTTCGGACTTCGTCCGAACGGGGACTAATAAGAGAGAAGTAGTTGAAAAGATATGATGCATTTGGTGTAATAGTACTAAATGTGAACTCACATGAAGTTAGGAAGGGGATAAAAATCAAACTAGCAGTTTCTGGCCCAGTATTCGTGGAACTCCACGCAATATGCAAATTTATGCAAGGATATTCATGAGGGGAAAATTCAATGTAACGACCCAAGGTAAACATTAGATGACTGATATTTTATATATTATAAACAATTATTTCCCAATAAAAACAAACTTTGAACTAAAAACTTGTACCGTCGTAATTAATAACATCGTGACTACACAACTTTAATCAAATACTGGAGCGGCGGTACATTTTCCAAAGTAAAATTCCATTATGTCAAATAACGACTATATTTATAGTAACAATGGTATTATATAACGCCGTAAATCATAACATTATGACTACGCAACTAAGATAAAACACTGGATCAGGTACATAGTTTCCAAAGTAAAATACCGTTACGTCAAACCATCAAGATCAAACTGCTAGAATATAATTGAGACGCTTTGGTTGCCTTGGATGGGCTGGTACTAAATACAAATTAGAAATCTCTAACAGGACAGGAATATTAATAGCTCTCTAAACTTTGAACCAATTGAACCTTTTCGTATTCGGACAGAAAAAAGCTGTTTCCGGGTGACCTCTTATAGCTAATTAGTGAAATTGGCGGAGCTCTTCAGAGGACATGGTAGCTCCCCTGATACCAGGACAGAATTAACCGCTGGTTTGATTGTAATCACCTCCCTTACAGGAGATTCTAACCTGTGAAACTTTTGGTTAACTAGAAATGAAAATAGTAATATAAGTGTGATTTTGGCTTGCTAAAATCGATTTTGTAAAACGCCCTGTGCTTGGAGTCTAATCCGGATTCTGGCCGTCTTGCCTTCAGCCTATCACAGCTTGTTTATTTTGACCTATCACAGCTTTGTTTACCTACCACAGCTTTGTTTTTTGCGGACCAATCAATGTCTTTTTGCACACATCCCCTAGCGTCCTTTGCTAATTGCTTTCTTTTGTGTGCCTTTGTCTTAGTCATTCATGTATTTAGCCGCGCTTAGTGAGCATCGTTTTGTTTTCAATCAATTAATTTCCCACCACCGCCGAGTAGATTGACTTACCCTCCATGTACCAATTGTGGCAAATATCTGCTGTCTTTCATCATTTCCTATCACTGATATTGTACTCAGTACCTGTAAAGCAGACAGACAATCATAAGTGCAGCATATGTATAGTTAAAGGTTACTTTGTTTTTCTATACATTACTTAATATTTTATAGAAGTGAAAAAATCTACCACATTTTAATTGACGAATGTGATGACCAGAAACATGGATATTATTTCTGGGTATTGTAAAGGTAAAAACAAAAGCCATCTATCCAGTTCATCAAGGTTTTATTATATACCTTACAGTGTCCATTAAAAATAAAATCAATTGTTACTGGTGTTTCATTTATCTCAATTACTAATCTTACCATTTATTAAATAGTTCAACGCGGAGAAATATCTCTGTGCCTGGGGTCACAACATAAAACTCATGATTTTTCTAACTCTCAGTATTAGGTATTATATTATATTATAGCATTATCAATTCCGGTGGATTTTATGATGTCATTGCAGCAGATTAATGGTGATAATGTATCCCATTATTGAGCATCAAAGGCCCCATACCATGGATATAAATACAATGTTGTTTTTGAAAATGAATAAAGAAGAAACTATTTAGAAAGAAAAGATATTATTAGTTATCAAGTATTTAATACTAAAATCGGCATCAAATAAAATGGTCCTTTGCCAATAGCAGCGGATTTCAATATCAAAATCAGACAATTTTGTGAGGGCATCGTCGTCTGCTCTGTAGGCTAAAGCAAACTTGGTCAAAGCGTTTCTAGATTCCGTGACTGATGCCGCTGGCCTCTCGACTAGGTCGCCCTAACGTGTTGATGAAGTAAAGTTTAATCGGGGATGATTTATCAAAGCAAATGCGATAAAGAAAGTGGGGGTATGTCTACAAGTACATAGAGATGAATTTGTTCTGTTTTTGTAGTGAGCAGTACAACACAATTTGCGAAACGAGATCCACGAAAGTCCAACGTGACTTGTATTTCCTCAGCGTCGACTTTCCGGTAAATGTCACAGTCTGAGCACAGTTTGCATAAACAAATAACGGAAATTGGTGTTCTCAGGTGTGTGTTTTATTTATACAGTCAAATTAAAATCACTGTTGGTTCTCCTTCTAGGATGGCTAACACCCACTACCTTTCCACCCAAGTTTGTTTGCTTGCTACGCCTCTAAGTTTTGTTTGGCTTCATAGTATTCGTCAAATCACTGGCCTCCTGTAGAATTTGAAAATAACTATTACACAGACAGGACAGTTGCCAATAACATCTATTGTGATGGTTTGAAAACACTTGTTGGATGGTGTAACGATACAAGACAGTAATATACCATAAAGGGCAGAAAACTTGAAGCTTTTTAAAAAGTTAAAGAAAAATATCCAAATCCATCATGGAAGGCAATTTACAAGCTTAAGAACACAAAACAATTGACTGGCAAACATTCAACAAGTATTGTATTTAATGTAAACCAGAAAATTTGTTGAATATTATTTTGATGTTTGAAGTTTAAATTTCTGTAATTTACGGTACATCAGTACATGTGCTACAATACACATATGATAGAGCTAATATGCTACAAAAGTAATCCTAAACTTATATTATCTATATGTACCATACTCTTCATGGAGAATCCCTGAGAATTGGTTTGATCACCACGTGTCTGGACATCATTCCAGTCAATCTTCCAAACCAAGCTATCTAAGTCAGATTCATACTTGCGATGTCTAGTAAAAACAAAACAGTATACAAGAGAAGACATAGTATACAGGAATAGCTGTCGCACCAAAGTTGCATAGTTGATTGTAATTCAGCAAATGAAAGTTTTAATATCTAATAAAGTTTTAAAATATTTTAAAGGAATGTGGCTAATAATTGTTGAAAATTCAAATAATATAGCAGGTGAAGCTGACTGAAGATTATCTGACAATCCAAATTTACTGTACATCAAATTTCAAGCAGATAATAATTTTGTTTTGGATTGATCATGATAATCAGTAATGAGTTTGAAGTAAACTTCTTATTTTTTTGGGGGCTTTACATATTCCTAAATATATTAATTTAAGAAATGTTTTCAGGATTAACCCACCAACAGTAAAAGATACATACTGCTTACATATTAAAGTTTGACTCGTCTCAAATTATTCATTTCATAATTCCCTTACCTGTAATACCATAAAGCAAGTAGTAAGATCAGTACCACACCACCTACACTAGCACCAATAGCAATATACATGGTTTCTGAAAATATATATATATGTATATATAACCAAAGTACGGTAGGTAATATAGCTGTTACTTTGGCACATAACACATTAATCTACTGTTCTTGTGTCAGTTCAAATCCCAGTTTATGTCTATAAATGTATACTACTCACGCCGGCATTTCTCTCCATAAAAACCACAATCTGGTCTGTCAAGTGGTACAGCTCCTCCAAGCCACTCAATACTACGTTGTGATACATAAGTCTATCAAATGAAACACATTCTGTCTGTTCAATACATGATTATTATTGAATTCAAATATAATTGGTAGTTTATATTGTAACTTCTAGAAACTACCACTATTTGTTAATAATTAATTTATGATTAATAATCAAATAATATAACCTGCTGCTAACCTTTGACCAAGGAATTAATTTGCAGCATGCATGGATTCCACAGCTAAAATCAGATTTTTCAAGTTCTCAGGCAGGTTGTGAATTTGAAACCATATACCGATAATACTATTCTTCATAATGTACATTATTTAGTGTCACCTGAGCAGTGTTTGCTTTACCAAACTGTGGCAACATATGCTTCAGCATTATGCGAATCATTTGTGTCAAATAATTTACTGACGTTAATTTACTAATGCAGAAGTCATTTTCAAGATGGCAGTCTTGAGGCCTCATGTTCTGAGCAGAGTAGTGAGCTAACTTCTGGTCAAAACCCAAGTCTCCTCGTGCAAGTATTTGTCATTACCGATACGAAGACGACAACCATTCTACTTTACACAACTGTGATTTTGACTGTTTGCGACATTAATGTATAGATGAGTGTATGTTATTGAATGAAACAAACAGGCAGATTAACAATCGCCTAACAAGAAGCATGCAGGATAGACATTTCCTTGCTTCTAGATGTGCACCTAACACCACACATATCAATGATTCCTCATTAGAGTCTTTACATATGAAAAAGAACTAGCATTGGCATCATAGGGGGAACAAAGGCAATGTGTTGAATGTTGAAGGTGTAATAAAAAACGTTGTGGCAAAAAGTGGTGTAAGGTTCTCAACACGAGTTCCCTGTCCAAGTACATTCAGGCATATGCAAGACTTATTTGTATAATTTGGAGTATTTGACAAATCAAATGTGTTCTTTTCCTTTCTATTAGTATATACTTACCACAACATATTCTGAATCGGTAAGTGTGAATGTCAAATCTGCAACAGGAATCATACCACGATCTTCACCAGCAGATAAAGATACATCATCAATGTGCTCGTCCTCCAATAATGAGAAACTTAACAGATCATAGTTAGCTAATGCCTGGCCATTGCTATCAATTGTTACATTCATACCACTACGACCTGCAGGAAACAATAAGTTTTTTTAATATTAGCTTCATAGGAATGGGCTATTCTGGACCAAAAATCATTGCATTATCAGTACAGCATACTTAGTTGTTGGAAAGCTAGCTTCTGAACACCAGCAAGGAATGATTAGGACACTCGGCGACATAAACGGCCAAAACCACTAGCCCAGATTAATTTTGAATGAAACCTTTGTTATTTGATATGGTCACTAAATAGATATCATGACTTTCTTGCATGCGTCAGAATACATACTTTTGTAATGTTGTTATATGTCACCTGATTACCCGGATGTATTGATATGTAAAAAGTAGTGCCGTTGGTGTAACTGAAAATGGCAAATTAAACAAGAAGTTAAATTTGAAAGCTCTTTGGTTTCTTTGATGTTTCTTGTGTTCCCGAGTCAACACATCACAATAATATAACTCTGTTACTTACTGGTATATGTTTGATTAACTGCATGATCATTAACAATATAATATCCCCATTCTTCATTCAGACCATCTATGAGCCACGCATTTCTAACTGCCTTTGCTGCTAGTAGTGTAGCATCATAGGCAAAGAATGCTCTTTGAGTGTACTGTAAAAAAAGTAGATAAAGTAGTAAAATATTTACTTTTTCCTAAATTTTCTAATTTGCAGGCATCAGCTTCTTGACTGCTTGGAAAGAAGTCTTGAATAAAAAATTCATGATTGGATATGACTGTAGTTACTGTAGGCACAAAAATATCCTTGATTTCCTTTGTTTTCATGCTTATTTTTTTTTAACCAAATTGCAAATTCCTCAACTATAGTAAGATATTTTTAGGGTAACTTTTTCAATGTACAATATCCTATTGAGTCAATGATCCACTACAAATGAGCATACCTTGCTGCGTCATGAAAAAATGTCTGTGTGTCATATAGGAGTTAGAAAGAACCCTGACAAACTAATGACACAATACCATACATTCAGATAATAGCCAGATAATAGACTTAGTGCTCATACTTGACTAAGCACCCTCCCCCCCATTTTCGGGGATTGTTTTTGGGGTACCCTGTAATTGAACACTGTTTTACTTTTTTTGTGAATTCAACACGACCTGTTCATGATCATGTAAGGTGTTAAATACTACTTCAACACTCAGTTTAATTTTTGAACAAGTCATTGTCAATGACACGTCCCCGTTCCGTTCATATTTGAGTGACATATACATTCAAAGCAGATCATGACCGAAAAGTACCTGCATATGTACAACACATTGTTCTAAATCTGAACAAAATTCATCCATGCATGACTGAGATCAGGTTCCGGAATTGTGAAAATACGTGATTTTGATGCATTTTCGGCCTTAAAATGGCCATCATTCAGCTATTGTTAAGCGGATCATGAAACAAATGCACATATCTATTTGTGA